CCATTATCTTGATCACAGCAACTTTCAGCCCAAGTAATATAATTTAATGAAATGTCCTTTAATTTAAAAGTTAAAGGAGCAATACCCGTTTCTGCAAGGTTTTTTTCAGTTTGAATGTTTAGCATCGTCCCCAACTCGCTCACAGGCTTCAGGTTTTATTTTTATTATTTATCAGTGACATATGCAAACGTTAACATTAGCGCAACTTCTTGTAAACTGTACAACAATCACTGATGAAATGGTACAAAAGCAACGCACTGGTAACAAAATATATAACTGAAAGATTACTGCTAGTATTGCATCCAAATGTAGTCCGGGCATAGATAGTGAGACAGGCCTCCTCTCTGACTATGTTTAAAACCAAGTTAAAAACGGTGCTGTTTAGCTGTGCATACAACTGAGGGATTTTATATTTTTATCTTTCTTTTTAATGTTCTGTGATTATTTATGATTTTAATGCTATCTTGTTCAGCACTTTGAGTTGCCTTGTGTATGAATTGTGCTATACAAATAAACTTGCCTTGCCTTGCCATAGTCCGAGGCTGGCACGCTCCCGCAGGTCTCACCAGAGGATACGATGTAAGCTAATATTCACCGGGGCTTGATTTCTTCTTTGATCATTTTTTCGCTTTAGTTCCCTCTTCTCTTCCTCACTGTTGTGTTGTTTGGGCTGTTTTGCTGTGTCTGCAGCTACAGCAAGAGGAGTTATAGCCTCTGTCTGCCTCCATGGTGCTGTGTTTACCAGCACTGCAGACACTAGAGGAGTCAGCCTTGTAACAGCACCGCTCCTCGTTCTGTGAGTGGAGGAGAGCGAGCGTCACGCAAGTTTTTACTCAGCACTTTTTACGGCCTGAATTCATAAACAGCTGAATCAATGAGCTCAAGTTTTCAATTAAATTACGGATTTTAATACAACTTGTATAGTTTTTCTTTTTTTTTTTAAACATGTGTTCTATATTCTATTTGTATTTTAACTGTTGATTCTCTGACCTGTGTTGGTGATTTCAATGGTTTTGTTAAGTCCTCTGAGATGACTTCTGTTGTGATTTAGGGCTATACAAGAATAAATTGTATTGTATTGTAAATTGTAGTAATAACATTTTCCATGAACTCATTAGAAAATACTTTGGGTATAGCTTCTTTAAGTTAAACACACTTTTTACATACATCTAAGAAGGTCTAAATGACCCAGGGCTGATCGAGTTAGGAAAAATCATAAACGTTCAGCTCAAAAGATTTTTTTTATGCTTTTTTAATTTCTGAGGGAGTACATTTGACCTGAGGATATCGCAAGGGTTAAGTTTAATAAAAAATATTATCCTTAGGTAGAAACTTCCAAACATATTTTTAGGTTTTCTCAGCTGTCGTCTGAAGCCATTTCTCTTCACACAAATCCATACAAAGCCAATACTCTGCACCTTGGAGTCATGAATTACAGCAGCCGCACTAACCTCCGGCCTGCGTGTCTCAATACCCCTGACCTAAAGGAGTCATATATTTGCCGAAGTGAAAAACATGACAAACACGGTCTCTTTAAATGCTTTATTTTCTGTACACCGGGCGTCAGGAAGAATTGATGTCTTAGTTCGGTGAGCCACAAATTACCCCAGGAGAGGCAGCCCTGCATTCCGACTGACAGCGGAGAGATCCCAATGGTCTTGTTCCAAACAGCCACCCACTCACTAACCCCCCTGGTTTACTCTATATTGATGCTCACTTCTTTGGGGGGGATTGTATTTCTATCTTTGGTGGACGTTTTGAGCGCGCAGTCATCTTAATTACAGATGTTTTGGACATTTTTCTGCATTGCCTCGTCCTGTGCAGGATTCTCGTTCGTACCTCAGGGCAATCCATTCTCCTGCAACAGTCGTGGTATGTTTAGTCTCAAGATAGTTTTTCCTTTCTTGCTTAGGCGGTGATATAGAACAGCGTGTGTTCTTTTTTTTTTTTTTACTAATTTCGCCTGTTCCTTCTCGAATTATGATATCCAAATAGAAATGCTTATTGTGTGGATATCTTGAGTCTGATGTTGTGTTGCCGCATTTGAAAGGTAACACACACAAGTGAATTCTTATACTGATGCTGTTAAATAAAACATATTTGAATCTATCTGAATATCTAAATGAAAATAAATAAATGAATAAATGACTCCTCCCTGTATTGGGAGGGTGATCCTTAAAGGGTCCAAAGCAATGAGCAAAAATAATAATAATAATAAAAAAAGCAAATACTGCCATGGAAATATGTAGGTGTTAATGGATGATGTATATGTGAGTGTCTGAAAACACAAATATCAAGTACTGCCACCTGCTGTGTCCGCTGATCTCAGTGCAGCAGTTAACATTGTTTATGTCCCCATATAGTTTTCATTTCTTTATTTTATATGTTTATTATAATGTGGATCTATTGTAGCACTGGCAGCACTGGTTTGTGGATGGTTGGACAGTATAAAGCACAGGTGTCAAAGTCAAGGTCCAGGGGCCAGATTCGGCCCACGAGACCATTTCCCGTGGCCCCTGAGATGATTTTAAATTATTATATTAAATAGCAGCATTGATGGTAATAGGCGACAATGGCATGTTATCCATTACTAATTTTCTCAAGAAAACAACCATAAAATTTAATTCCATAAGAAATTTAAGCTGTCATGTAATTAGAAGTGAGTATTATAATGTTATGTTTTTTACAAGTCAATTAATGTGATATATAGATACCTTCATAATATAAAATAAAAAGTATAATAAATGAAACCCACTTATTCTTTCGGCCCCTGACCAGCCCTTTCATTTTTTATTCGGCCCTCAACCAAAATGAGTTTGACACCCCTGGTATAAAGCATCACGTCCACTGCACTCTGTGGGCTTCATTACAGGACAGAGACGGAGCCATCACAGAGCATCCAGGCAGAGCTGCTCTCCAGAGGCACAACACGTCAGAACTCTCCCCCTGAGCACCTCCTTCCTACACAGAACACCTCCTCCATACACAGAACACCTCCTCCATACACAGAACACCTCCTCACACCCATTTCTCCTGATGCATTACACTCAGGTCACCCGTGTATCAGGGCGGGACATGGGGGTAAATGAAACACCTTCTGGATCGACAAAAGGATTTTCAGACAAAGATTGATACTGATGAAATAAAACGCTGCATTCGAAAGCCATACCCTGTCAGACCTCTAAAAGCTAAGCAGGACAGGGGCTGATTAGTACTGTGATGGGGGACCTCTGGGAACACCAGGTGCTACAGTGGGGCGGCTGCGGCTGTAAAATGCCAAACTGTTGTTGTGTCCTTAGGCAAGACACTTAACCCACATTGCCTAGAATGAGTGGTGTGTGCGTGAATGGTTTGTGGTGGTCGAAGAAGCCGATGGCATGTACTGGGTTGCTTCGCTTCTGTCAGTGTGCCCCAGGGCAGATGCGGCTACAGCAGTAGTTTATCATCACAGTTTATGGAGGTAATGAACAAAGCCATGTGAAGCGTTTTAGCAATTTATGAAAACAATGCGTTATTATTAACGTGAAATTGACATTTTCTCTTCAGCCATTTTAGGTTTTAGAATATCTGATAACTTCCGATGCGCGCAGTCACGAGAAACAAGAAGAGGGTGAAGGGGGTAAACGCATCCCATTGGTTCGTTGGGGATGAACGAATCCCATTGGTTTGTTTTTATCGGTCCACTCCAAAATATTTTTATATTAATTTTTGGAGACTATAGGCATTTGGTCAATTCCATTACTATTTGAAAACACATGATAATTTGACTACTTTCAGGGTTTTAGGGACGTTTTAAAAAAGCGTTTGGAAAAAATCACCGACTGCATCTTTAAGTGTTGTCATTGTGAAGCACTTTGGGTTGTATGAACTGTGATATACAAATAAATGTTCACTGATTGATGCTTATCACTTTTCCTGCGGCTGTCAAAGAAGCACGGAACCTGACAAATACTGATTTTTTTATTGCACTTGAAGGTCACGACTCCTTAAAATGTCAGAGAAGAAATATTGATTCTGGTGCGGTCCCTCTGTGACTTCTCAAAGTTGATACTCTTCATGTTATTGTAAAAACGGCTTCCCCAGACAAGCCGTCCCAGGAGCTTTCTGACGGCAGTGAAAACTAACAAAGGGGCAGACGCAAAAAATATCTGATTTAGCTCAAATATATGACCAGAAATGCTCTACAAAAACAACTTATTCCAAAATGCCAAGACTATTTACTATTTTTGAATGAATCTAAATGCAATATTAAAACTCCCGGTCTCCGCCAGGCCACATACCCACAATGTGTGATTTATTCCCGGCTCTGCCACCATCACAGAGCATTAGCAAACTTGATTTAGTATGAGGTGACATTTAACATTTCATGCAAGTTTAAATCAAGCGGCTCAAAGCTACAGAGGAATTATGAGTGTGTGTGTATTTCAATGAAAGATTACTCGCAGCTTCGTAGGCGACTGTAATCAGGCGACTGTTTTACAAATGCAATCGCAACACAAACAGTCTACTGTGGTGGAACGCGCATGTTAAAGCACTTGGCAATTTTGAATTGAGTTAATTACAGCTTAAACATAAATTATTTGTAATTAATCGCATTTCGAACTATAAGCAAAATTGTGCCTTATTTTTCTGTAAATGGTTGTTTGAATGGGAAGATAAATGACAGTGTACATATGAATTTGTTTATTATAACAACAATAAATCAACATAAAATGGCATTAACATTATTGACATTCTGTCTTTCTGTTTAGACTCAGACCAAAACTATTGTTCGTTACAGATGAGGGATATTTCAAAACAGTCTGAGGCAGAATGTCGTTAAATCTGTTTGATTTGCTCACAACATTTTACTTTTGGGCACAACCAACATGAACTGGTAGTGCAAGGGAAAAATTAGGTACCCCAGCTTTAATTTAGCAAGTTTAGTTGCGCTTTGGGAGGAGACCTGGAGGAGACATGGAGGAGCCCCGGAGGAGACCCGGAGGAGACCCGGAGGAGACATGGAGGAGCCCCGGAGGAGACCCGGAGGAGACCCGGAGGAGACCCGGAGGAGACCCGGAGGAGACCCGGAGGAGACCCGGAGGAGACCCGGAGGAGACCCGGAGGAGACCCGGAGGAGCCCCGGAGGAGCCCCGGAGGAGACCCGGAGGAGACCCGGAGGAGACCCGGAGGAGACCCGGAGGAGACCCGGAGGAGACATAGAGGAGCCCCGGCGGAGACCCGTAGGAGACCCGGAGGACACCCGGAGGAGACATAGAGGAGCCCCGGCGGAGACCCGTAGGAGACCCGGACACTACCTGAGGTTCCATATCCAGCTTCAGTGGTGTATTTATTCCATGCACAGGTTACACAAAGACACGCACACGACAAGCAGAGAATAGTTTTATGGTGTGTACGTCTTGGATTTGATCACGTTACGATAATGAATATTTAAACTGACTAGGTGCATGGTGTTTGCTCTACTGAAAGGATAATGGTCCATATATTCCATACTAAATACTGTATCTTATCATTCTAAAAATGGCAACATTCACATGTTTATTTCCAATCCCTGCTGGGTCAAAAAATGGCTTCCTTTTGTGTCACTTTGGCCTCACTTTAAAAAGCGTGTGTCTAATTCTGGAGACACTCGAACCTTTCAGAAAGATGTGCTCGTTTAATTAGAGGAGTGTAATGTTGTGTTTCATTGTGTCTGCGGGCTGTCTCTGCGTCTCTCTCTGCAAAGGGATTAGCTCTGTTTTTGGAAAAGCTAGGGAGGTTTCAAGCTGTGATTTAAAGTTTGAGTTTGCTGCGTTTATATAGGTCTACAACTCTCACATTTCCATAATGCTAAATGCACCAACATTATTTTTGTAACATTTAGGAAACTATTCTGAGTTTATTTGCATTTGCAGGACTATGCATGTTTTGTACTGAGAATGTTAGGTTTCCACCTTATATTTGGGACTTCACTAAGGCAAACTAATGAAGGCAAGTTTATTTGTGTAGAACATGAAGAGGGCAACTGAACGTGTTTTACAAAATAAGAAAATAAGTAATTATAGTCATTAAAAAATCAGCAGGAGGCCAGTCCCTGTGTTTCTCGGAGTCCCAGCAGGAGGCTAGTCCCTGTGCTTCTCAGAGTCCAAGTTGGATCATGACATGTCAGATGTTGGTGCAATGGCAAAGACCTGTAACAAGCAGAGCTGTTAATAACTGGGCCAAACCATTATTAGATTAAGACAATTATACACATATCCGCCCTAGACTATATATCATACCTGTTTATAATTTCTCAGCTTGTTTGAAGATATCAGCTGGATCACATTGCTTCTCACTTCCGTCATCACCAGGTGTGGAGTGATTGCAACAATATCTGAACTCTGAACATTGGAAAGCGCTTTGGGTACTTACTTACTTACTTACTACTTACATGTGTTCCACATTTAAATAGGGCTAAAATATTTTTAATAACTTGTTTAGTGTCTAGTTATTAAGTGTCTCTTGGATGGAAATCAAAGAGTCTTCAAAGTGTGAAAGATTAAGATTAAGAGATCCTTTATTCATCCCACAGTGGGGAAATGTCAGTGTTGCACCACAAGTTATAGAGCAGTGGGAGCAAGGAGCACACAGCACAAGATAAGTGAACAACTGCCATGGTTCACTGCAGAGTGAGAAATTACATCAACAAATATGTAAAATATGTAAATGCAGTTTTGAGTCCCAATATCACTTCCCTTTGAAAGAATAACCGACCATTATCCATCCTCTCAAAAACTGCAAATGCATCTAGCACCTTGATGTGAGCCAATACAATCTGCCATCAGAGCTGAACAATTAGAATCAGGAATTTAGAAAAAATAAGTCAAAACAATAATTGAAGAATGACTTGAGGAGAATGTCCTTAACTTTTTAGTGGTTTGTATCTTTCTAAAGTGTCATAATGTTTTCCAGTTTTATGAATCAGTCCCCAGACATAAGATAGTCGCAGTCTACGTGGGCAGATGTCAGCGCCGTCATTTTTATGGCTCCCAATGACTGGTCCCTAAGATGGAAACAAATCAGTCTCCATGAGTGTCTCAGCACAACATAATGGCCGTGTGTGACAGAGCAAATAATGATCCAAAAACACTGCTGGAAATCTGTCGGTAACTTTTGGCCGCCGTGTTGCAAATGTTTTTCGTTGAGATGGCCATTTACGTCTGTATTTCAACTTATAATGTGAGACTAATGTGACATGGCTGACGACTTGTAAAAACCAACGCAAAACCGAAACCAAAACCCAACAGTAAAATCCTGTATGATGATTTACTCTGGATAAAGTGTAATTCTGTTAAAACACACTCTCATATCTCACAGAAGGTCCTGGGTTAGAATCCCGGTCGGGAAAGGGGCTTTCTGAGAGGAGATTATATGTTCTCCCTGTGTCTGAAAAGTTTTCCTCTGGGTGCTACGGTTTCCCCTATCACTAAAAACATGTACAATAGTTCTGGCATGCGTCTCCTGAAAGTAAGTAAGTAATTTTTATTGATATAGCACCTCTCTCAGACCAACTTACTTACTTTATTCGTCCCACAGTGGGGAAATTTCAGTTTTGCATCAAAGGACAAGTACACATCTCCATCTTGAACATAATAATAAAGAAGTATAAAGATTTTACATTTGGCAAAATATGAGGCAAGTATAAAGTATTGTGTATTCTAGGACAAGCAATATGTAGTTATAATTTAGCAGCAGTATGTTTACATCTGTACATGTTAGCAACAGTATGTTTACATCATGGATCTATAATAATAACTGGATAGGGTATTACTAGCTTATTGCTGTCCCACCCAAGGACACAGGGGGCGCCTGTGGTACTGCAGACTAAATTCACAAGGGCTACCCAGAAAAAAGTCCCATAGAACTCAATGTAAACTAAAACAGCTCGACAGAGAACCTACAGCTTTCAGATAGATCGTATTTTGAGGGGATTTTAGTGTCCCTTGCCATCCTGAACTTTTTTTCTTCTTAAATCGTTCGGTTTTCTTAAAATCCACACTTTAGTGCCACAAACTCTGCTTCTTTCCTTCCCGTTCTGGCTCCGCTCTTCCGCTGCTCTGATGAGCAGCTCTGATTGGTCAGAGCGCAGCCGAGTGTGCGTGCATGAGATCCCATGTGAGACCCACACACGCGCAGTGTTGCCAACTCCTCAGTAAGGAAAGTAGCTATTGGCTGTCCCAAAAGTCGCTAGAAGTCGCTAAATGACGTCATCACCTAATTTGCATAATTGGCAATTTGCAAATAACTGTAACGGACGCTGTAGGAGAGAGGAATAACGTCGTGGGAGAGACAAAAGTGAGTAAAAAACACCCTAAATATGTTTAGAACTACAAATGTACAAAAATAATTTCAACATTAACAACATTTAATGATTTTAATGCTTTGTCTAGATCTGTCGCTAGTCGCTTTTTTGAAAAAAAGTTGCTATAGGGTCTGAAAAGTCGCTAAATCTAGCGACAAAGTTGCTAAGTTGGCAACACTGCACACGCGTATTTGGCGCAACGCATCATGGGAGAACCACTGCGTAGAACCGGGAGGACCAGATGATGCCCAAATATAGGCAAGTTCAGCTAATCTCCCGGTCCCCTGAAGTCCCATGCGCTACTGAGCACAAGTCATTCCTTTGAATAGGGCGCCATCTTGGATCACCGGGGCTTGGTGTACATCTGTACATGTTAGCAGCAATATGTTTACATCTGTACATGTTAGCAGCAGTATGTTTACAGCATAGTTACAAGTTACAGCACACAGTAACAAAATGCATGTATTTATTATTCTGTGTCTAATTATAATCGTGTATGTTTTCCATCACCTGAAAAAAATACCTTTCTTGACAAAGTAAATACAACTCAGCAATAATTTTACCAATTTCAGTACAAAAGTATCATTCGTTTGATTTTCATATTGTGAAATGGAAAGTAAATGGTCTTTCTTTTTTTTGGCTATGATATAATTGTAAACTCGCTCTGCAATTACTACGATTTCAAAATTAGAGCCTGATTTGAGGTTTACGCAAACATTTCACATGAACCAGGTTAAAAACAGTGTAGCTTTGAGGATTTTCCCAGTGCTATTAACATCGTGAATTGTATCGTTAATGTAATATTTCTCCCAGCCCAACCCCAAACCTGTAAAATATCTCAGTGTTATGACATGATTTGAAAGTCTGAGAGTTTTTATTGTCGACTTTTGCGGCTGCGGCAGCGTTTGGGTCTGGCTAACACACGCTAATGACCCTCTCCTCTGATCTACGACATCTTCTGGGACCCGCACGACCAAATATCAAGGGGCAATTCTGCTCTTCATACCAGTATACTACTCATTATTGCCCGAAGTGTCGCGCAACAACGGGGGTTTAAGCCGCAGAAGTCAGGCCCGTCTCTGCGGAGGTCATTACTATTGGGATGAGCGCGCTATACTGTCAGAAAAGAGCAGCAGCAGAAGTGGGTGCAGCGAGGAGAAGAAGAGACAGCTATAATTGGACAAACACGTAACACTCGGAAACTACAGGACAGTATGATGTAGCAATCAAAGAGAGTTTCGGCGCCAGAGAAAGTGATGGTGGCGAGGAGGAGCACTTCATACAAACATGTATCGCCAATTTAGCCCTTATGAAAGCGGTGGTACTTTTTGGGATAACGTTCAAATTGGACGCTGGGTTCTGCAGTGATGTGAGCAGTGAGGAGGACTGCACCAACATCATTATAGCATTAATGTGTCAAGTGTGATGTGTTTAATTGACTATTGAGTTTTTTTAGACAAGTTACAATATTGTACCATCCCCATTTTTATCTCCATCCATACTAAAATCACAAACTTTTGGCACAAATTTGTCAAAAACATATCAGAATCAGAATCATTTTTATTGCCATGTAATTAACAGGAAGTCACAGACTTGGAAATTGCTTTGGCTCAGTGCAACAGTCAGAAAGAGATAATACAAATAAGAATAAAAAACACTTCTAAGGAATAAATTTAAATTTAAAATAGAGTTACAGTTACTATATACAATATACAAGTGCACATGGTGCACACAATGTAAGGTGACAGCAGTACAGTGAAGTAAAGTGACGTATGATGGGCAGTAAAGTGACTTTATAAAGGGCGGGGGGACAGGTTAAGAAGTGTTCAAGAGTCCAACAGCAGAGGGGAAGAAACTGTTCTTTTGGCGGGAGGTTCTAGTCCTGATGGACCGCAGCCTCCTGCCTGAGGGGAGTGGTTGGAATAGTCCATGTGCAGGGTGAGAGGGGTCGGCTGTGATACGACCAGCCCGGCCTCGAGCTCGGGCGACGTACAGGTCCTGCAGCGATGGAAGGCTGCGGCCGATCACTTCCTCTGCAGAGCGCACAATGCGCTGTAGTCTCTGTTTGTCCCTGACTGTGGCTCCAGCGAACCACACGGTGATGGAGGAGGTGAGGATGGACTCGATGATGGCCGTGTAGAACTGCACCAACATCTGTGCAGGCAGCTTGGCTTTCAGCTTGGCTTGTACATTCTTTCCAAACGTTTTACTAGGATGAGGACGCCTTACACTATAGCCCCATTTCCACCAGCGGGACTTAAAGAAGCTATACCCAATTTTTTTTCTAAGTAGTTCATAAAAATGCTTTTTACTACATACAAGTTGTATCATAATACATAATTTAATTGAAAACTTGAGGTCATTGATTCAGCTGTGTATGAAATTAATGCCGTGCAAAGTGCTGAGTAGAGTCTTAGCGGGACGCTCGTTCTCCTCCGCTCACAGAACGAGCAGCGAGCAGCCTGCGTCCTCTAGCCTCTACAGCGCTGCTCAACACCAGGGCTTCGACTTCAAAATTTGAATATTATTCTAAAATTAAAAAAATATATATATTTGAACAAATATTAGACAGCCCTTATAATTTGAAATCTATTTAATGACTGCAAATAAAATAGTTAGCTCCCAAAGGTTTCACCGGGACGTGCTAGGCAGTTAACAGCTAAGCTAGCTAGCTGTTTCATGGTAACTTCCGGTTTTTTTTTGCGATCGCTTTTTGTCACTTTAAAACAGTATTTTTGTCATGAAAACGTTGACAGCAAATTCTGAAATCGTCCGTGCATGTGTGTTAAGGATGTATATGTGTACTGTATTGTCCGATTGACGTTTAATGGTGTTGATTGATATGTATTTGTTTATTGAGCGTGGCTAGCTCCGCTAGCTTCTCTACACAGACAAGTGTGCAGAAAAACTGCACAATGTAGTGACAGGCGCTGATAGCTTGTTGTACTTGCAGAGGAATGGCAGTATTGTACACACCTGAATTACAAACAGAGATTGCATTGGGGCTGCGGTCATTATTGGTTTGAGAGTTCTGTTATCAAGAAAAAATGATCGGAAGAATTGCATTCAAGTCAATGGAGTGCTGCTGCTGTGAGGGGCTGTATAATAAATTATAATTAAATATTAGAATATATTCTAATGTTTAAATTAATACATTCGGACGCGAAACTAGCGGTATTCTTTTACCTATATAATGTGTTAGCAGTGCGTTGCTTTAGTACCATTTCATCAGTGATTGTTGTTGAGCTTACAAGAATTGTGCTAATGCTAATGTTAGCATACGTATCAGATCACAAATAAAACTAGGTGGCTCCGTGGGATGAGAGCGTAGGGGAAATGAGAAGCCATTGAGCGAGTTGGGGGGCGGTGCTAAACATTCAAACATTGCAGAAACGGGTATAGCGCCTTTAACTCAGCTCTACTCTACTCTTCTCTACTTGGTTTTACTTTGACCCCATTGGGAGCGTTCCCACTGGCCCTGGTTAATCGGCATTATTGTATCAGTATTGCTGCTCGAAGCCAGGGTTACCAAGGAATTTTCCCAGATACTGGCAAGTGGTGAGCAAAGGTTGCAAGGATATGGCACCAGATACGAAAGTGAAATGGAAACATAACCAGGTAGAGTAAAGTAAAGTAGAAACATGGCATATGATGTCATGTGGATATCAGACTGTTTCATTTTTCTGTATGTATCGACATTTTTTTCTGGGTAATGTCTCTGGTCAAATTGACAATAGAGATATGGGTGAGTTTTGAGCCCCAAAGCAGTTTCAAAAGTCTTTAATAACATAAATACTGAAAATGGATGGAGCAGTGGAGCAGACCAGGACTGGACGATGTATGGGATAAGGAGACAGGAGAGCAGGTGAGTGTGAATCCAAAAAACAGGCAAGTATCAATAAAACTGGAACTCAGGTAAAGCACTACAGACATGACGGCATTATCTGGTAGAGCAGTGATGAGGTTGTAATCATAGACTGTAAATATTAACGAACTTAGTCACGCCTATCTTCGCTGTTGAAATTAAAAAGACATGAATACAAAAATAATAAAACAGCCGCTCTAGTCAGTTGTTAGTTATTAAAGTGATCATATGAGATTGTTCTGCTGTGGGAGTCTGCTGACCTCATTTCCAGCCTAAACGGACTTTATTGGTTTCACTTTCATGCTGTTTGCATATTCAATCTCCAAACACGCCTTGTAAATATATCCGGTTGGGAAGATGCGACTGCCACCTCCATTTGACCGTCGAGATTTCTCACCGATGCTTTATTCCCAAGATAACCTGTATAATTCATTTGCATGCAATAATAAGATCCAATGAGAGAGCACCAACAGACTTTTACCGTCTACATGCAATTAAAACACTAAGATTATCAGAAAACCCAAAAAACTGTTGGAGGAAAAGTAAAAATAAGTCATTGTTTTTGCTTTTTCATTCTTCCCAGTGGGTTTGTTTATGATTAAAAAGTCTAATATATTATTATTATTATATATATATTGCACATTATGATTTTTAAAGCTTTTAACTAATATAGGTTTCTCTCTCTTCTCATGTACTTAACATTTATTGAAATGATTCTTTTGTTTGGTTAATCCATATTCTAATGGATCTTAAGGATTGGTTCCTGCGGGAGAACCGGGGTCCTCTGCTTCTCCCTTGGGCCCCGTCTCACCTTCCTGCAGTGTGCCTCATCCTCAGATTGACATCAGCAGTCCTAATGTACAATACATTAGGACTGCTGATGTCAATCATAGTTTTTGCTGAATAAGGAAAAAGTCGATTTGAACATAAGCTAGCTCGAGCCAATTTCCTCCTATTTGTTTCGACTTGGTCCTTCCAACATGGTTGCTAAACAATAAGGATGTCCAAAAAGAAGGATGTATTATTATCATCATTATTATTAGTAATGATCAGTAGCAGCAACTTTCAGCTCATCTCTTAAGATTCTTTTGCTTGATTCTCACAGATTTTCACATACATTTAAAATGGACTGTTTTGGATCTGCAGCTCATCATCAAAACCAACATATTCAACATTTCCTCACACTTTTGACTCAGGTAAAGTCTAAAGTACAAAGAGTGCTTCTCCGAGCCGGCATATATGGATATCATATGTGTTGCATATGTAATTAAAGCCTCCTCCCCAGAGGAGGCTTTAATTACATATGAATAATCCTGAGTTTGTCACGGAGGATAATGCAGCGCCTGATGCGCTGAAAACACCGAGGCACCTGTCTGCTCACATGAACATGGAACCCAGTATTTATCAGAACAAATCCAGTTTTACATTTAGCCTTAAAGCTGTGAAAAGATTAAAATATGATCCAGATTAAAACTAAATTACACTGTTACCGCTTTCAGGGTTAAAGTGTATTAATATATTGTGTATATATATTTTTTATGAATGTCCTACTTAAACTATATTTTCCATTTCATATAGACACATCACTGCGCGAGCAAATGCATAATCTCAATTTAAAGAGAGGTGTCTTGCTTATTGACGAGATGGATTTCTATAATAAAGGCAATCACGACTTAGGGCAGCTTTCAGGACTTACCTCCAGGCTCACACACTCACTCACACAATAAAAAAGATAATAGCATAAAAACATGAAGCTGTGAATGTAGACAATAGCAGCCGAGGAAGCACCATCCGAGGAGCCGTCTGCAACAGGAGCAGAAATAGGCCTACAGCCACAGGGGTCGACACTGGACCCAGAGGAGAGATACTGGAGATACTAAGAACAAGAAGAATTAGGACAGATTTTAGGACTTACCTCCAGACTCACACACTCAAGTTGGTCTTAAAGGGTGGACACATTTTGAAACTGTTTTATGAGATCAACTTCACTAAGAAACAGTTACACCAAACCTTCGAACAGAAAGTCTGGGAAACGCTAACAATTTGTGTCAGGGTCTGCTCTGTGCATTTAACGAATGGAGGAAGACACATAGTTTTGTCGTTTCATCTGATAATTACTGTATAGTTCAAAGAAAAGTTTAACAAGGAGGATACGCAAGAGGAAAGAAAAAGAGTGAGAACTTTTTCTTTCTTAAACCTTTTTACCTTCATTTCTTTTACTTTTTTGATCAATAAAGTTTTTTTACCAACAATTTTCCAACATGAAACATAGTTGAACTATATTAGTCCAAGCTGTATAGGCCCAGCATCA